GGACATTGCATCTATAGTAGTCTTTTCAAATTTCTTTGTAGAAAATGCGCAGGAAACTGAAAACCTAACATATCTGTATGCTCTGTTTCACATAAGACAAACATTTTCTGTTGTTTTTTTTATCATTTAAATTTATTTAAGAAATACAATAAATGATATTTGATAGACTCTTGGTTTTCTATCTGATAGAGGTATAATTGGATTAAAAAACTATTTAAAGTTTAAAATTTATAAGTGGAAATTTTTACTTTTAGAAAGAAACAGATGATAAAAATGGAGGTAGTAAAGAAAGGAAACATTAATATTTGGGGCACCTGGGCAATTAACCTGTGCTCCAAACCTTTCATCTGTGAATTTAAAACTTAATGGGCTTTAAGTTTATTATGTTCAAACACTTACCATAATTTTTTAAGCTGATAATTAAAAAAGACCAGCACAACATTGATGAAATTTATGTAACCATGGCAAACCATGTAAAAATTTGAAGTCTAGAAAAACTAACTCTAATATTAATTCATTAAAAAAAATTTATTTGTCATTCCTAATAAAAAATTTAATATAACTATATAATAAGTATGGTGTTTTCCTTTTATTTTGACTGTAAAATATTTTATTTACAAAATTTAAAAGACTTAAATTTTTTGGTAATAACAACAATGACAAGGAGAAACAAATCAATTCATCAATTAGAATTCTCTAATTAATATGACTCTTATTAATTCTTCTCCTAGAAAAGATAAATATTAATTCCCAACAAACTTTTGGATAATGATTGCTAACCTTCACCAAAATATTATTATCTGTTGGAATAATTAGTGATTGGATAGCTTGACTTTGCAAATATATTGAACAATCAAAATAACATGCTTCATCGATTTTCTCATTACTAAAAAATCGTACATTTTCCTCTCATAAATAGAAAAATTCCTCCGTGCTCTAATGATTTTCTCACCTCAGAATTACAAATTTTAACATCATGTTCAATAATTCGATAAAAGGTTATGGAAAAACAAAATATTGATGTAGAGAAATTCGTGATTGCCGATATTCACCACTTTGGCAAAATAAATTATAAACTAAAATTATTATTTGGTTAGAATTTTCATTTATTTTATTAATTTTTCATGCTGACATTTTTTTAAGATGATAATTTTCTGTATAGAATAAGAACTGAAGATAGGAACCTGATATTTATAATTCCATTCTAGAAATGGTAACTCAATTGCACCACTTTTTTTCTTTTTTCAATATCAATCTATGTGATCAATTATCAAATTAAATTATCGTTCTTATCTATAAGTAAATAAATTTATCTTTTGAAGTAAAACCAATAAAATATTTAGACAGTTTTGAAGATTTCTTTTAAAGACGGAATTAGTGGTATTTAAATTAATAAATCTATATTTTGTTATTTTTTTATTTTTTTTTCTGCCGACTGATAACGAAAATAATTATTGGTTAAATGTTATGATATTGATAAGTCGAAGTATGTGTTTTCTTTTTCTCTTAATGGAGATAATGTTTGTGGTTCGGATGACTTTAATAAATACTTTTATCACTTTTTTTTAGGATATTTTGGTGTTGATGTTTGTAGAGTTTCGTCAACATCTTAATATGAATTTGATTATTAGCAGAGTAATATATATAACTTATTTTCATGTAACTAATTTTCATTCCAGTATTTTTTTTTGGCTAATATAAATTTACTTTTGGTATGATAGACTTGTTTTTGGTAATTGCTAGTATGATTGTTTCTCCTAATCAAAATAGTTTTATTAAAAATGTTAAAAAATTGTATTTGCATTACTTATTAAAAAATTATAAATATTAATTATTTAAAGTATACTTGAATCGTATTAGTATATTATGATTACTTAAAATTTCCAGTTTTATAAAATAAATATTTTTAACCAATTATATTAATATTATCATATATTGTTATTTATGAATAAAATATAACTAAAGGAAAAAATTATCATCTCTCATTGGAAATAAAACAGTAAATCTATGTTATTCATTTTATATTATTTCACTATTTTATTACAGTAAAAAAACATTATTTATATCTTATTATAATAAAATTTAAAATATTTCTATTTATTACTTATCAATTATTTATTTTACTGTAAACATTTACTGATATTTACATTTCTATTGGGGACTGAATCTTGATTCCATATAAGTCTAGTTATTTGCATATTACAAACCAAAAGCCAGTCTATATTCTTAATTCAATTTGAAACAATAAAATAGACTAAAGAAATTAATAAATAACGACAGAAAAATTTTCTCTAAGACCAAAATAACAGTCTTTAATGAAATAAACATATTTTTTGGTGATTAGTCTATAATAATATTTTATTTTTTATTCATAATACAATTTTTAGAATATCTATTTTTATTTTATTCTTATTTATTCTAATATGTCTAATATAGCTTCACTTTATTTTACTAATCTCACTTTACTTAGGAATTAAGATAAAAAATAATTTAAATATATCTTCTTTCTTTAATTCTGAAAGTCTCTTCTAAAAACAAAATCATTTAAACAGTATCTAATCTCATATATGATAATTAATCGTAACTATGTATTGAATATCGACGTCACAAATATTCTTTCACACTACTATTTACGGCACGAGAACTTCGACTACAAATGTAAGTTTGAAATTAAACTACATTATTATTTGTTAAAAGTGACGTGTATTCTTAAACTATGTAAAAGTACACCACATGTTATAAAAAGAAAATCTCAAGGCAATGATTAATACACGAGTTATTCTTTTCTTATATTATTACCTTCATTAACATCTAAATAATGTAAAACTTCAAAACCATGCATTGAATTTTTCAGTACATTTATGTTTTCCATTGCTATCTTAATTATACCAATTTTTATTTCTTGTACAACATTTACTTTTCAGGCTTGCTGAGTTTCCACAGTTCCTAAACTATTGGTCGTTTTTGGTTTTCGTCCATGTTTCAAAGTAAGGTACAATTTGGTCGAAACGTTCGTTTTAGTCCTCGAAAACTAAACACTGTTTAAAAATTTGGTCCTCATTTAGCAATAAATGACGACTAAAACCAAAATTCCGTCGTTTCGAAAAGATTGAGGACTAAATTGTACCTTACTTTGAAAGAGGGACGAAAACCAAAAACGACCAATAGTTTAGGGATTAAAAACATATTTAACCCCATTTTTTTCATGTTTAGATATTTGATTTCTGACAATTGAAAATAAATAATTATAAAAACTTTCACATTAATAAGAGATAAATATTTTAAAAATAGAAAATAAAAATATCGAGGAACAGTGATTTTGGAAAGTGTGTTGAATCTATATTAGTAAAAGATTATTCACTGTGATTTAAGAAACTTATGGAATTGGATAATGTCATTTTGCTGGCGTTTCTTCTGTTTGTTTTGGGGCTTGCCTTTAGTAACGTAAAAAACATTTTTTAAGAGTTGCTAAACATTGATTTTTTTTTACAATGAAAAGGACATATAACGATATATTCATTGAAATTTATTATCCAATATCGCTTTCAGGGTAAAGTCATGATACATTTTCTGATGATTATTGTTGAATTCTTTGGTATGCTCACATTTGAAAAAAAAAAACGTATGAGTTTAGAGGTGATTGATTATATATTTTCAAAGTTTATAATATATTATTAAAAATAAAGTATATAATTATTATAAAAAATTGATATTATATATTAATAGTAAAACTTTATTAAAAATGTCAAAGTTTGTTGATAAATTAAAATTAATAACATTTTACTAATAATAAAAAATCGGTTCATATTATTTGTTGATGAATTTTACTAATAGATAGAAAATTTTGTCGGTTATTATGAACAAGCACAAGTTCGTCTGTAATTATTCGTTAGTAATTATTGATGAAATAATTTTGTCGATAAATATTTATTAATAATTACTAATGAATTTTTTTTTATCAATAAAAACTATACAATAATAGATAAACAATCACAACAATTTTCAAAAAACTAAAATTTTAGTTGATAACACTTCATCTAACTAAATCAAATTACTCTAATTCATATCATCCATATTAAATAAGTAAATTTTTTTTGTAACCTTTTGAGAAAGCACATTGTATCATTCAGAATTTCCAATTAGGCATATCCCCATCTCATTAACCATTAAAAAAAAGAATAACGTAAACTAACAAAAGAATGAAAGTTTTAATAAATATATGTTCAGAACAAAACATTTAACCTATAATTTTTGTGTTTGACTCAAATATATTTTTAATTAAAAAGTGAACAAAACTCACCTCTAGTTAATGCTTATTCTATCTTAATACTTTTGTTACCTATTTCATCTTATACTTTTAATAAGAGTTAAGAGTTCTAATTCAAAAGTTAAAATACTATGAATATGTTTTTTAAAGTCATAATTAACATGAAGTAAAAAAAAATCCATGACCTATTTTTTAATTTATTAATGAAGTGAACATGCATGTAGACATGATGAAGTGAAAAAACATTAGTACATGTCTATATGTCTGTTTTTTTTCTTTTGTAATATTTAGTTTCTTTAAATTTTGTACGTATATTTTGTTTATATATAAATGAGTTGATGTACCTCTATACATTCACATTTATAAATTCTTTTCGTTGATTACAAAAAACAAAGAAACACGCTAAACTCCAAATCAATTCATTTTAATTCAAATATTCTATTTGTCTTGTTTGAAAATGAAGATATGGAATTTATTTTTATAGTTAAGCGTTGTTCTTCATGATAATATATATCTTGGTATATTATGTATATAAGCATTTCTTTTTAACAATTTTTATTTGTTAATTAAAAAATATATCTAATGTATTTTTTTTCCTTAAAAGAGTTTTTTTTAACATTTTTTATCCAATACAATCATATTTATTAACCAGTTTTAACCATGGCTTCATCCAGGAGGCCATAATTAATTCTATCAACATACACTCAACATAAAAAGGATTCATCTCCTTATCCATGGCATTTACATTTATACAAAGCAAATGGGCAAAGAGTGATGCGATTTGATTGTATATGAATAACATCAAACTTCAGAAATGTTCATGAATGGAGAACCAACAAATCAAAATCAGTCATCCAAACGTTAAGCACATGCAAAGTGTTTGATCAAATTCCCCAGAGGTTAATCAATCAATCAGTCCACAAATTGAAGTCTGTGAAATAAGCATGATCATCCCAATAATCTACCGAAGGTAGTGGAAAAAGACATAAACTCTCTGCCATTCTATCCAAGAGACCAGGCATGTTAAACAATGCCTCCTCATCGAAGAACACAGTCGAAGACAAATCACAGTTGTTTTTCTCCATGCCACTGTCGATAACATCACATTTTTCACGATCCAAATTCTGCATGTTATTCAAGGACGACTCCAACACCGTTGTCTGTGTCTTTTCCTCCATTGATGAAACCTTTTTACAAACCCTCCTGCACTTAGTTTTGCGACCGGTTTTCTCGTTACGAGAATTGGACAAGGAAGAAAGCGAGATCGGTCTGAAACTCTCAGCAGCTTCTGCTGCGGCTGCTCGAATATCTTTAGGTGAAGAGGAGTTAAGGATTGGAAGAAAAGAAGCTGAGTTTGGAAAGTTTAGAATCGCTGAGGTGCCCCTAATTGCTAGGGCACCCACATCATGTGCCCTAGCTGCCATTTCAGGTGTAGGGTATGTCCCTAACCAAATCCTTGTGGTCTTCTTGGGTTCCCTGAGCTCACAAACCCACTTTCCCTTCCTTTGTCGGACACCCCTATAAATAGGGTGGCGCGTTTCCTTGAACTTCTTTCTCCCACCTTTCCTTTTGGGAGAAACTACAAATTGTGCATGAACTAAAGGATGTGAAAGTAGGTTCGGGTTAGTATTATTATTATTAGGTGGTGTGAGTGATGATGATTGGAAAATGGTGGAAGAAGATTGAAATGAAAAAGGATATTCAATCTCAAAATTCATGGTAGATTGTAACTTTTGTGGTGATAACAAGAGAAATTGAGAGTGGAAATTGGAGTTATGTGTGAATTTTGGTAGTGTGAGCATAGGTAGGGTTCATGGAGAGAAGGGTTTATAAAGAGAGAGGGAAGAGGAAAGTGTGTTGGAGGTACGATGATTTGACATTTGCATGTGCTGTAAATAATTTCTAGAGCTATCTTTTTCATAGTGCAAGAGTAGACTCAACCTACTTTATTTTGTTTTATTTTCACACTATGTTTGAATAATTCATCTATTGTGTTCTTTGTGCTTTCAATTTGTTTTTGTTATGGAAAAAGAGATATTAAAAGAATGAAAAAAATAGTAATATATAAATATGTGTGTAAAACGTTTTAATGAATGGCTAGGATGAACTTTTCTCATTAGATGCATTCTTTATGCTTTTTTATAAAGAAACTGTACTGTGTACTGAGGGGAATTTCCCCAAGTCTTCCAAATAACGCTGGCTGGAGTTTCAGGATTTAAGGATATGTCTTTTATATATATACATAGTATTATATGTCTTAACAATAAAAGAATAATATTTCAATTAAATTATTTTACTAAATCATGCATTTTTATATAAATTATGTAATTCAATTTCAATGTATGTATAATGTAAATTTATGTTGGACCTAAACTTTGACATATATTTATGTTAAATCTAGACAAATTTAATATAAATTTCAAAATAATATTTAATATTGATTTGTGTTTCAATATTCTGTACGTAGTGCCAACAAAAGAGTGCACCTATTGCGTGGGTGTCTCTAGTTCGAGTTTGAAGTTCTTGGAACTATTATAATCATCAACTTCAATATTAACAAAAATTAAACATTTAATAATAACAAGACATTTCCATGATTGAATTCCTAAAACAATTAATTTCAAAAACAAAATAGAGATTTAGATCACCAACTTCAATTAATAATACTCAAACGAAATCCAATTGGACATAAACTTCTCATTCAAAATCACTCACAAAAATGAAAGAAGAACATCTTTTCTATCACCAATCAAAGGAAAAATAAATTCACTGCAACATTAGAGAAGGAAAAATCGAGATAGAAAGGAGAGAACGAAAAAAAAAACTGAGCAGGAATTATAAAAAGTTTACATCAACTTACTGATATCTTGTTAGGTGTAGGGAGGAGAGACTTCACTAAAAAGACTAATGAAATGATACCATACTAATACTATTCGAATCCAATTATATAAGGAATTAACATCACTTTTTATAAAAGAATTTACTTTTATATAGTAATTTTAATTTTTTATTAATATAAAATTTAGACCTGGTATTTAGACTTACATTTGATTCTCGACCTATATATATGATGCTTGCATCTTACATGTTAGATCTTATAAGAATAAACATTAAATATTTAATGTAAACTACTTTTTCTTCACTGATAAAAAGAAAACAAGTGTTTTTATATTTATTTTTGTGAACAAATCAATTTTTTCTACTAGTTTAAAACTAAACATGTAATCTTTTTGAACACAATTGACTTAATGATATTAAATTTAAAGAATGTTAAAGTAATTATAAACTAGACCAACTCTAAAGTCAGATCGACTAAAACTTTAAGAGATAAAAAAAAATTTAATCGCTAATTTTGAAAATTAATTTAATAATCTTATTTAATAACAATAAAACATAATTTAAATGCTGAAAATAATTTGTAAAATATATTTTAAATCAACTTTTATTTAATGAATTTCTNTTATTATATATATATATATATATATATATATATATATATATATATATATAGTTTGTATCTATAACTCAAAATTTTATACTCTTTCAAAATAATCGAGATAGATTGGAGATATGTAATTATTTTAATAATATATAAGTGAGAAATACAGTGAAAATTTGATAAAGAGAAATTGAAGAATTATGTAAAGTGGTATTATAGTTGGAAGGAGAGGAAGTTTTTCTTTCTATGTGCTATATAAAATTTAATCTTTGGTTGAAACTTTTGAGTGGAATAAAATTTAAAAATAATTTAATGAATTCTGTCTTCTAGCCTTTTTAAAATAGAAAATAAGACTTAACTGTAAAAATATTAAAACAATTCCTTTAAGAGTTCTTATAGGACCCTTTTACAATCATAAAAGTTAAAAAGAAAAGGAAAAAGAACAATATGTCACGTCGCATACTGAATCCATAAATTATTGAAGACTTTGAAATATAGAATCATGCAACTGATAGTGAAGTATTCGATATATCATGTGCATTTGAACACACATGCTTCACGCTTTCTCAATAAGGACAGAGAACAATATTTTCATCAATTTAATCAACATGTTTTTATTTCGGTTTATACTATTCCAAATCAGCTAATTAGGTTTTGTTCATTATCTACTATTTTAACTTTTTAATTTTAAAATATAATAAAACCCTTATTTATAAAATTTTAATTAGATTATTGTGAAAAAGATAAAACTATTGCAATTCAAATTTCAAAAATAAACAATGAAAAGTTCGAATGTTGTAATCCTAGTACATATGAACATATATAAAAATTATAATATTTTTTACATATGGAAATCAGAATGAGATTTCAGAAATAACAATCAACAAGAAGAAAAAAAGCGCGTGACTTTTCTAGTCAATTGTCTGTTTTTTATTATTGGAAAATAAGGTAGATTTATAAATAGCTGCTAATCTTATCACAAATTACTTTATAAATCCCTTTTAGATTTAACATTAATTAAAAATTATCACAAACTTACCAAAATTCTGACATTTTTTTTATGAGAAACTGTCTGATTTCCTTTATCTCATTCCTCACAATATATATATATATATATATATATATATATATATATATATATATATATATATATATATATACACACATTAGGGGTGTTTTGATTTTACAATAAAGTTTTTTGATAAACGGAATTCATTCTAAGAAGTGTGTATAGCAAAAATGTTTAAAAGCAAAAAGAGAAGCTTGTTCAAATTGATAATGATTGACAGTTATTCGTTCCCATTAATCTAATGTTAGATCTAAAATTTCTGGCAAACAACATAAATCACAATTATATAAATAAATTTACATTTGATAATTTTATAAATTTTAATCTTAATAAACTCCACACACTTCATACCAACAAATATTATAAGTTTTTACTTTTATTTATTTTTATCGACAAATCACAATTATATGAATAAACTTTCATTTGATAATTTTATATTTTATAATCTTAAACAAGCCTCACATTTTATAATAACAGATTATAATGAGAAAATTAATCGTACAACCTCTCTTACCCTCAATTTCAATATCATCAAACTAACTTTCCTAATAAAAGGGAGTTAAATCATATATACCATCCCTTCTAATTTTACCACAGACCTACCTTAATATATGAATGTTATATAAACTCCTCACACTTTTCTGGTAATATGTAGTTGTGTTAATATGATGCAGAGACAAATGTACTAATTATAATTTCCTTAAATTTCAAAAAACATATTATTTGACAATACATTTTTATTTCTGTTTATCTTCATCTTTCCAAAACCTTTTATATGTTTCAGTCCATGAATAAAACATTTGCCAGTCCACAACAATTCATAGTCAACAAAAAAAAACAATAGAAAAACAATAATAATAATAATATATCACCCCATTCCACTAAAATAAACCTATTTCCATTACATAATTTACAAAATATAATGCATATTTTAAAAATAGTATATACAAAACATTATACATTTATAAAAAGTGTAATAACAGCTATTATCATAATCTCTTTGAGGTTTAGTTTCGACACATACATCTTTTCATCAATAAAATATAATCATGAAATCATAATAGATTTTTATACGAAAAATAAAAATAAAGATAAAGGATAAATTATTAAAATAAGGATAATAATATAAAAATCAAATTATAAATAAGTTATAATATTAGAAAGTGGTTTTAAGTCTAATTCAACCTCACAAAACCGACTTGTAAGGTGACGTTTGCACTCCACTTATATATTATAATTTGGTCTTATCTCTAGGCGATGTGGGACTTCCAACACACCCTCTTCACGCCGAGGTATAGACATCTCAAGCGGGAGAGTAGAATTAATGGGTGGTCAGTGGTCCGACAACGGCTGGAACAAAATGCTCACATAGATCTCGCTACGATATGCTTCAACCATGACTCTGATACCATATTAAAAGATTTAAAGAATAATTCTGATGTATTATTTCAAATAGTAGAGTACCATATATACATACAAAATGATCCTATAATTCTTCATCTATTAAATGAATGACACGTGCACAAATATGTACAAATTATAATAATATCTAAATTATAACTAATATCCCTTGATAAAATATTTGGCATATCTTAACAGGCATATGACTATAAACAATCCAAACTCTCATCTATTCTATTAATTATATATATGTATCAAAGTATTAAAATGATATTGAATAAGGAATATGATTAATATTTTAAAAGATTTATATGAAACATATTATGCTAGTTAATATTTGACTACTCAAATCAAAACTTTGATCAATATTAGATATAAGAATCAAGAATAAAAGAACTTCTCATTAGTTTTTCACCAGGTGATTTCTTAATTAGTATTATTTAAACCATTAACAAAGCAATAAGATATTTGTTATATTGTAATACAAGAAAATTATTATTATTAATAAAAAATATGTTAATAATAGTAAAAATTTATTGATGATAGAAAAAATTCATTGATAATAAATGTACACCAATAAATTTATTGATGAATTAAAAAATGTTTTGATAATGATTGATGATAAAAAAAAATTCAGTAAATATTTGTCAATAATTACTAAAAACTTAAATTCATGAATAAATATTGCAATTGAATATTTCTCCTCTTTTTCTTTTTTCTTCTTCTTCTCTGTTTTTCTTTGTTCCTCTTCATCTTTTTTTCTTTGTCTTCTCATCTTTTTCCTCTCTTCTTATTATTCGTACTCATCTTAACTTAATTTATTAAGAAATCTTATTAAATTTGATGAAAAATTTGTTGATTACTTTAGTGATGAATTAATCAACAATAAAATATGTTAATAATAAAAATTATAAATTATCCACATATTTTATTAACAAATTTTAAAATATATAATTA